GCAGGTTCAGATCCCGGGTGTGGACCTATGCACTGTTTATTAAGCCATGTCATGGCAGGCATCCCACATATAAAATAGAAGGAGATGGGCAGCACTGTTAGCTCAGGGCCAATCTTCCTCAGGAAAAAGAGGAGGATTGGCAATGGATGTTAGCTCAGGGCTGATCTGCCTCACAAAAATAAATAAATAAACAAACAAAGTTGAAATAGATTTTATCAGACATATGAAAGTTGAAAGAAATTAATCACCAACAGATCTACACAAGAAGAAATATGGAAGTCTTTCAAGCAAAGGAAAATGATACCAGATAGAAATTTCTATCTACATAAAGGAATGAAGAGCAGTGGAAATAGTAAATATGTGGTAAAATATAAAGTAATTTTTTTTATTTTAAAAATGTCTTTAGGTGCCAGCCCCATGGCCTAGTGGTTAATTTTGGCACAGTCCACTTCAGTGGCCTGGGGTCAGTTCCCAGGAGCAGACCTAGACCACTCATCAGCCATGCTGTGGTGGTGACTCACATACAAAATAGAGGAAGACTGGCACAGACGTTAGCTCAGGGAAGACCTTCCTCAAGCAAAAACAGGAAGGCTGGCAATGGATGTTAGCTCAGGGAGATCCTCAGCAAAAAAAAAAAAAAAAAATCTTTAAATTTTAATAGATTATTTACAACAAAGCTAATAAAATGAAGGGTTTATAACATATGTAGAAGTAAACTGTATGACAAAAGTAGCACAAAACTGGGAGGGGGAAATGGAAGCATAGTGTTGTAAGGACATACATGTGAAGTGGTGTAATGTTACCTGAAGATTAAGAATGGTAAGTTAAAGACGTATATATAAACCACAGAGTAACCACTAAAAAGACAAACAAACAAAAAAAGAGTTATACCCAATAGATTGACAAAGGAGATAAAATGGAACCATAAAAAAATAATTTATCCAAAATAAGTCAGAAAAAAGGAAAAGTGGAATAAAAAACAAACAGGACAAATAGAAAAAAATAGCAAGGTAATATAATAGATATAAGTGCAACCATATCAACAATCATATTAAATATAAATGGTTTAAATATCCCAATTTTAACCAATTTTAACCTGTCCTAAAGGACAGAGATTGTCATATTGAGTTAGAAAGCAAAACAAAACTATATGCTGCCTATAATAAACCAACTTTAAATATATAGACCCAAAGAGGCTAAAAGTAAAAGGATGGAAAAAGATATGCCATAGTTACATTAACAAAAAGAAAGCTCGAGTAGCTATATTAATATCATACAAAGTAGGTTTCAGAACAAAGACTATTGCCAAAGGTAAAGAAGGACATTTCCTAATGATAAAGTGTCAATCCGTCAAGAAAATATAACAATCCTAAATGGTTATACAACCAATAAGAGAGTTTTAAATACATGTAGCAATAACCAAAGAACTAAAAGAGAAATAGATAAGTCCATAAAAATTATAATCAGATATTTCAACACCCCTCTCTTAATAATTAATAGAAGAAAAAAACTGACAGAATAAGTAAACAAAAAAATTAGGAAGGATATAGAAGACTTGAACAACACTTTCAACTATCTTGATATATTCACATTGATATAACACTCCACTCGACAATAGAAGAATACACATTCTTGCAAGGGCATAGGGAAATTTACCAAGATAGACATATTCTGGACCATAAAACATTTTAAATAAATTTGAATGAATTAAAATTATGTAAAGTAGGTTTCCTAACCATAACGGAATTAATAATCAATCAAAAAAGTATCTCCAGAAAATCCCCAAATATTTGGAAACTAAATAACATACTTCTAAATAACCCATGGGTCAAGAAGAAATCAAAATAAAATGAAAGTGCATTCTGAAATGAAGGAAAATAACAACACATCAAAATTTTGGGGATACAACAAAAGCAATTCTTATAATATTTTTAGAACTGAAACTTTATATTAGAAAAATGTTGCAAATCAATGACCTCAGCTTCGACCTTGAGCAATTAGAAAACTAGAAGGAGCACATCAAACCCAAGTAAGCAGAAAAATAGAAATAAAGCTCAGAGCATAAATCAAAGAAGTAAAAAACAGAAAACTAAAGAAAAAAATCAATAAAACCAAAAACTGGTTCTTTGAGAAGAACAAATCTGACACACCTCTAGCCAGACTGTTCAGGAAAGGAAGACACAAATTACTAATATTGGGAATGACAGTGGAGAATCACTAAAGACACTCTCATGATATAGATGTAAAACTTCATAAGTTTAGCAAATTGAATCTAATAATATATGAGAAAGATAATACAACACAATCAAGTTGAGTTTATCCCAGGAAAGCAAAGTTGTTTTAATATTCAAAAATCAATCAGTGTAATTCAACATATTAACTAAAAAAGAAAAATCATATGATGATCTCAACAGATGCAGAATGAGCATGACAAAAATGCAACATCCATTTCAGATAAAAACTCTCAGAAAACTTAGAAGAGAACTCTTTCAATCTGATTAAGGGCACCTAGATAAATCCTACTGCTAATAGTATATCCAGTGGTGAAAGATTGAATGTTTTCCCTAAAAGGTGATGGAAAAGGCAAACATGTCTGCTCTCACCAGTTCTATTAAACACTAAACTGAAGGTTTTAGCCAGAGTGATAAAGTGAGAAAAGGGAATCAAGTCACCCATATCTGAAAGAAAGAAGTAAACTGTCTTTATTTGTAGATGAAATTACTTTCTACATAGAAAATCCCATGGAACCTACTAAAAAAAAAAAATTAAGTGAGTTTAGCAAGGCTGCAGGATATAAGAACAATATACAAAAATAAACTGCATTTCTATAGAACAACCAGAAATTGAAACTTTTAAAAATTGTTCATGATTGCAAAGAATATGAAATACTTAGGGATAAATGTAACAAAATATGTGTAAGATTTACACATTGAAACTATAAAACATTACTGAGAGGAATTAAAGAATCCATGAATAAATAGAGATACACCATGTGTACTAGACAAAGAAACAACATTACAATGTCACTTCTTCCCAGATTGATCTATAAATTCAATACAATTCCAGTCAAAATCCCAGCAGACATTTTTGTAAAGGTGATTCTAAAATGTGTATGGCAATACAAAGGACCTGATATAGTCAAAACAACTTTTGGAAAAAACAGTTGGAATACTAACACGACCTCATTTCAACATGAGATACAATAGTTAATACAGTAAAGATACTGTAATACAGATAGTATGTAAAGATAGACAAATAGATCAATGGAACAGAATATAGAGTCCAGAAACAAATCCACACATATATGGTGAATTGATTTTTCAAAAAAGGTTCCAAGGAAATTCAATAGGGGAAAGAATAATTGTTTCAATAAATGGTCTAGGACTATTGGACAGCCATACAAAATAAAGGAAGGGAAGAAAGAAAGAAAGAGAAACAACCTTAACCCATATCTCATGCAATATCCAAAAGTTAATGTAAATGACAAATGACTCATAAGCTGAAATAAGATCTGAAACTATAATTATATTTATAGATGAATACATAGGAAAAATATTATTGATCTTGTGTTTACTTAAGACTTCTTAAGTATGTCACAAAAAAGCGTAAAGAGTAAAAGAAAAAGAAATCAATAAATTGGACTTTATAAAAATGAAAATCTTTTACTCTTTAAAAGACACTGTTATAAAAATAAAAAGGTAAGTCACAGACAGGAAGAAAATATATGCAAAACATATCTGATAAAAGACTTGTATGTAGAAAAAATAAAAAACACTTATAACTCAACAACAAGAAAAATAACCCAATTTTTTAAAAGTGGGTAAAAGATTTGAAGACACTTTACCCAAGATGATATATAGATGCAAAATAAACACATGAAAAGATGCTCAACACCATTAGTCATTAGGGAAATGCAAATTAAAAACACAATGAAATACCACTACACTTTCACTGGAATGGCTAAGATGAAAAAGACTGACATCACTAAGTATTGGCAAGAATGTCTAGCCACTAGAACTCTCAGAGACTGCTGGTGGGAATATAAAATCTGCAACCACTTTGGAAAACATTTGGGCAATTTTTTAAAAAGTTAAACATACACCAACTATGATCCAGCCATTCTATTCCCATGTATTAACCCAAAAGAAAAGAAAACATATGTCCATACAAAGATTTATACATGAATCCTAAGGGCTTTACTTGTAACAACAACAAACTAGAAACAACTCAAATGTCCATCAACAGGTGAATGGATAGACAAATTGTGGTATGTCCATACAATGGAATACCTCTCAGCAACATAAAAGAATGAACTGTTGTTATACACAAAATGGATGAACCTCAAAATAAGTACACTGAGTGAAAGAAGCTAGAAAAAAGAAGAGTGCATACTGTTTGATTCCATTTATATAAGATTTTTAAAACTACAAACTCATCTATAGTGGCAGAAAGCAGATCAGTGATTTCCAGGGGTGAGGGTGGGAATGAAGAAGGCAGGAGGGAGAGATTTCAAAGGGGCAGGAGAAAATTCTTGAAGATGATAGATGTGGTCTTTATCTTGATTGTGGTGATAATTCCTGGGTGTAGACATATGTCAAAACTCATCAAATTTACACTTTAAATATGTACAGTTGATTTTATTTCAAGTAGATCTCAATAAAGCTATAAAAAAAGCTATGACCCATTCTTCAGAGGCCTACATAGAAAAGTGGCAAATAAATTAATGCCAAGTGACATGTTTTCTGACTGGGAATATTTAGTGTTTTGCTGCAGAAAAATACATTGCCAAAGGTAACACTGGGGGTATAATGGTAAAGACCCATAGGTCAGAACATTCCAGTCCTGCTCAAATTATTCTACAGAAAACTACACAATGCTCTCTCCTTCTGTGGGGCATGGCCAGAGGCAGGAAAGGGGGAAAACCTAGACAGTCAAATGGTACATTAACTATCACATTAACTGCAATCTACATGGTTTATTAGTTTGGAAAAATCACTTACCTAGATTTGTCATTTAATTCAGAAACCTGAATTTTTACTGATGGTTCTTGTAAATCTGAAGAATTCTCAAGTTTTGAAGTAACTTTCCACCATGAAAATTAAAAACAAAAATTGTTAGGCATCTCAAGTAAACATTTAAATATACCACTCAATTGTACTTATGACAGATAAAAAAAAATCTGACCTTTCTGTGTATCGTCCAGTTTTGATTTTTCAGGTGAACGATCAGCTGTATTTGTTTGCTGCAAAAAAATAAATACATATTAAATTATGGTGCCTTTGAAATTCTTTTGGAGCCCTGTTACACCTTCAAAGAAAAGCATTTCCATTGAATACTAAGATACCAGGCTCTTCGTTCTTAGATTTGGCTCCAAACGACTATTGGCTATTGCAAAAAATTGATATCCACCCTCAGGAGATTTGCCACTCCCAAAGACAATCAGAGTATCTCAAAGTCACTAAAAGAAACATCAAAGGAAGACTTATACGGGCCAGCCTGGTCGCGTAGTGGTTAAGTTCATGCGCTCTACTTCAGTGGCTCGGAGTTCACGAGTTCAAATCCCCAGCACAGACCCACACACCACTCATCAAGCCATGTTGTGGCAGCATCCTACATATAAAATAGAGGAAGACTGGCACAGATGTTAGCTCAGAGCCAATTTTCCTCACCAAAAAAAAAAAAAAAAAGGAAGACTTACAAAAATGTTTTCCAAAGCATCAGAATTGTTGGGATAAACATACAACTTCCCAAGGAGACAATCTGGTGGACACTGTTCAGGATCTTGTTCTAAGCTCCCCATACTCACGGCAGGCTCAGACTGGTTAAAGGGAAGAGTTATTAGGCAACGGTCATCTCCAGCACTTGTTAACTCTGCCATCTCGGGGGATTCTTCTGCTTGGTCTGCAGACATTAAGAAAATAGTATTAAAAACAACCCATGCAAAACACTGGTCACACCCTCCAACTGCTCTTCATGGGATGCATACTGCTGGTACACTGCCATCTTCTGGTAAGAGCTGGTAATTAGGTCCTGCCTCAAATCTTATATTGAAAATCTATGGGCACTTGGGAAAACAGCCTTGGGGTGGAACTCATAAGAGATATACAATCTGTGCAGGGCCAGCTTTGTGGGTACGCAGGCCCCTCCACAACCTCACCTCTTGCTTCCCACCACCCATCATTTTTTCTCCTCTGTGATTTCCAGTTGACTCCAAGAAAGACTGTTTCAGTAGGGAAAACAATTCAAGGCTTAATTAGCAGCTTTTCTTTCTCCAAAAGTACAATAACACATTAGTGACTCTCATTGACCATAGGTGTTCAGTGATCTCTCCCAAGTAAGGTTTTATCATTGCTTCTATATGGAATTCATAGTAAAAAATTTTATTTCCAAATATACCTGTCTCTCTTTTGTGGCTGGTGGGAAACTCAGTGTCTTCTTTCTCAAATTTACCAAAAAGTTCTGAGACTTTTGTCTGATCAGGCAACACCTGAAATGCAAGTCAAAAGCCACCTGACTTGTAAAAGCAATAATCTTGAAAAAGTTTTAATATTAACAGACCTAAAGAGAGAAATAGACAGCAATACAATAACAGTAGGGGAATTTAATACCCCACTTACATCAATGGATAGATCACTCAGACAGAAAATCAATAAGGAAACATCAGCCTTAAATGACACATTAGACTAGAGGATCTTAACAGATGTATACAGAACATTCCACTGAAAAGCAACAAAATACACATTCTTCTCATGTGCACATGGAACATTATCCAGGATGGATCATATGTTCAGCTACAACACAAGTCTTAATAAATTTAAGAAGACTGAAATTCTATAAAGCATATTTTCCAAGCACAATGGTATGAAACTAGAAATCAATTACAAGAAGAAAAGTGGAAAATTCACAAATATGTGGAGATTAAATAACATGCTTCTGAAAATCCAGTGGGTCAAAGACAAAATCAAAAGAGAAATTAAAAAAATGTCTTTTGACAAATGAAAATGGAAATACAACATACCAAAACTTATGAGACACAGCAAAAGCACGTCTAAGAGGGAAGTTCATATTGATAAATGCTTACACTAAGAAACAAGAAAGATCTCAAATAAACAACCTAATTTTACACCTCAAGGGACTAAAAAAATAACAAATGAAGTCAAAGCTAGTAGACAGAAGGAAATAAAAATCAAAGTAGAAATAAATGAAATAGAGACTAAAAAGACAATAGGAAAGATCAATGAAACTAAGAGCTTGTTCTACAGAAAGAACAAAATTGATAAACCTTTAGCTAGACTCACCAAGAAAAAAAGAGAGAAGGCTCAAATAAATAAAATCAGAAATGAAGAGGATACAACACAACTGATATCACAGAAATACAAAGGACCATAAGAGACTACTACAAACAATTATATACCAAATATTTGACTACCTAGAAAAAATGAATAAATTCCTAGAAACATGCAACCTACCAAGACCGAATCACGAGAAATAAAAAATCTGAACAGACTGATTATTAGTAAGGAGACTGAATCAGTACAGGCATACTTCATTTTATTGCACTTTGCTGTATTGTGCTTCGCATACATTGCATTTTTTTTTTTACAAGTTGAAGGTTTGTGGTGACTCTATCAGTGCCATTTTTCCAACAGCATTTGTTCACTTTGTGTCTCTCTATCACATCTTGGTAATTTTAGCAATATTTCAAACTTTTTCATTATTATTATATTTTTTATGGTGAACTGTGATCACTGATCTTTGATGTTACTATTGTAATTGTTTTGGGGCATCACAAACTGTGCCATGATCTGCATGGCAAACAGTAGATAACTGTTATGTGTGTTCTGACTGCTCCACTGACCACCATTCCACTGTCTCTCTCCCTCTCCTTAGGCCTCCCTATTCCCTGAGACACAACAATATTGAAATTAGGCCAATTTAATAACCCTACAATGGCCTCTAAGTGTTCAAGTGAAAGGAAGAATCACACATCTCTCACTTTAAATAAAAAGCTAAAAATGATTAAGCTTAGTGAGGAAGGCAGGTCAAAAGCCAAGATAGGCCAAAAGGTTGGCCTGTTATGCCAAACAGTTAGCCAAATTGTGAATGCAAAGGAAAAGTTCTCAAAAGAAACCAAAAGTGCTACTCCAGTGAATACATTAATGATAACAAACTGAAACAGCCTTATTGCTGATATGGAGAAAGTTTTAGTGGTCTGGATAGAAGATCAAAACAGCCACAACATTTCTTTAAACCAAACCCTAATCCAGAGCAAGGTCCTAACTCTCTTCAATTCTATGAAGGCTGAGAGAGGTGAGGAAGCTGCAGAAGAAAAGTTTGAAGCTAGCAGAGGTTGGTTCATGAGGTTTAAGGAAAGAAGTCTTCTCCATAACGTAAAAGTGCAAGGTGAAACAGCAAGTGCTGATGTAGAAGCTGCAGCGAGTTATCCAGAAGATCTAGCCAAGATAATTCATGAAGGTGGTACACTAAACAACAGATTTTCAATGCAGATGAAACAGTGTTATATTGGAAGAAATGCCATCCAGGACTTTCATAGCTAGAGAGGAGAAGTCAATGTCTGGCTTCAAAGCTTTAAAGGACAGGCTGACTCTCTTTTTATGGGCTAATGTAGCTGGGAACTTTAAGCTGAAGCCAACGCTCATTTGCCATTCTGAAAATCCTAGGGCCCTTAATAATCATGCTAAATCTACTCTGCTTGCACTCTATAAATGGAACAACAAAGCCTGGATGACAGTACATCAGTCTATAACACGGTTTACTGAATATTTTAAGAACACTGTTGAAACCTACTCCTCAGAAAAAAAGACTCCTTTCAAAATATTACTGCTCATTGACAATATACCTGGTCATCCAGGCACTCTGATGGAGATGTACAGTGAGATTAATGTTTTCATGACTGCTAACACAATATCCATTCTGCAGTCCATAGATCAAGGAGTAATTTCAACTTTCAAGTATTATTATTTAAGAAATATATTTCATAAGTCTAAAGCTGTCATAGTGATTCTTCTGATGGATCTGGGCAAAGTAAATTGAAAACCTTCTGGAAAAGATTCACAAGTCTAGATGCCACTAAGAACATTCATGATTGGGGCCGGCCTGGTGGCGTAGCAGTTAAGTTTGCACGTTCCACTTTGGCGGCCCAGGGTTTGCAGGTTCGGATCCCAGGTGCAGACTGATGCACTGCTTGTCAAGCCATGCTTTGGCGGCGTCCCATATAAAGTAGACGAAGTTGGGCAAAGACATTAGCTCAGGGCTAATCTTTCTCACACACACAAAAAAGAACATTCATGATTCATGGGAAGAGGTCAAAATATCAACAGTAACAGCAGTTTGAAGAAGTTGATTCCAACCTTCATGGATGACTTTGATGAGTTCAAGACTTCAATGGAGGAAGTAACTGCAGATGTGGTGGAAATAGCAGGAGAACTAGAATTAGAAGTGGAGCCTGAAGATGTGACTGAATTGCTGCAATCTCGTGATAAAACTTTAACGGATGAGGAGTTGCTTCTTATGGATGAGCAAAGAAAGTGGTTTCTTGAGATGGAAACTATTCCTGGTGAAGACGTTGTGAAGATTGTTGAAATGACAAGAAATGATTTAGAATATTTCATAAACTTAGTTGATAAAGCAACAACAGGGTTTGAGAAGATTGACTCCAATTTTGAAAGAAGTTCTACTGTGGGTGAAATGCTATCAAACAGCATCACACGCTACAGAGAAATCGTTTGTGAAAGGAAGAGTCAATCAATGTTGATTGTCATCTTATTTTAAGAAATTGCCACAGCCAGCCCAACCTTCAGCAACCACCACCCCATCAGTCAGCAGCCATCAACATCAAAGCAAGACCCTCCACCAGCAAAAAGATTACGACTCGCTGAAGGCTCAGATGGTGGTTAACATTTTTTAGAGATAAAGCATTTTTTACTTTAATGTATGTACATGTATTTTAGACATAACTCTATTGCACACGTAACAGACTACGTTATAGTGTAAACATAACTTTTATATACACCGGGAAACCAAAAAATTCATGTTACTTGCTTTATTGCGATATTCACTTTATTCCAGTGATCTGGAACTGAACACACAATATCTATAAGGTATGCCTGTGATCAAAACCCTCCAAAGAAACAAAAGTTCAGGACCAGACAGCTTCACTGGTAAATTCTACAAAACATTCAAAGAAGAATTAATATCAATCCTTCTCAAACTCTTCCAAAAAATAGAAGAGAAGGGAATACCACCAAACTCATTTTATGAAGCCAGCATTACCCCGAGATCAAAACCAGACAAGGACGCCAGAAGAAAAGAAAATGACAAGCCAATATCCCTGATGAACACATGAAAATCCTCAACAAAATATTAGCAAACTGAATTCAACAATACATTAAAGGGATCATACACCATGATCGAGTGGGATTTATCCCTGGGATGCAAAGATGCTTAAACAACTCCAAATCAGGGCCGGCCCCGTGGCTTGGTGGTTAAGTGCACGCGCTCCGATGCTGGTGGCCCGGGTTCGGATCCCGGGCACGCACCGAGGCACCACCTCTCCGTCCATCCTGAGGCCGAGTCCCACATACAGCAACTAGAAGGATGTGCAGCTATGACATACAACTATCTACTGGGGCTTTGGGGGGAAAAAAATAAATAAATAAAATCTTTAAAAAAAAAAACAAAAAAAACAAAAAAAAAAAAACTCCAAATCAATCAATGTGATACACCACATTAATAAAATGAAGAATAAAAATCATATTATTATCTCAATAGATGCAGAAAAAGAATTTGACAAAACCGAACACCTATTCACGACAAAAACTCTCAACAAAGTGGGTATAGAGGGAACATACACCTCAAAATAATAAAGGCCATTTATGACAAGCCCACAGCTATCATCATACTCACTGGTAAAAAATTAGAAACTTTTCCTCTAAGATCAGGAACAAGACAAAGATGCCCACTCGCGCCACTTTATTCAACATATTATTGAAAGTCCTAGCCAGAGCAATTAGGCAAGAAAAAAGAAACAAACGGCATCACCAGAAAGGAAGAAATAAAACTGTTACCATTGGCTTGTACTTTTTGCATGACATGACATTATATAGAAAACCCTAAAGATTCCATTAAAAAAATGTTAGAATAAATGAATTCAGTAAAGTTGCAGGATACAAAATCAATATACAAAAATCTGTTGCATTGCTATACACTAATAACAAACTATCAGGAAGAGAAATTAAGAAAAAAATCCCATTACAATAGCATCAAAAAGAATAAAATACCAGGAATAAACTTAACCATGGAAGTGAAAGACCTATACACTGAACACTATAAGACATTTATGAAAGAAAATGAAGAAAACATAAATAAATGGAAAGATAGTACATACTCAGAGATTGGAAGATTTAATATTGTTAAGATTTCTTACTACCCAAAGCAATCTACCAGATTCAATGCAATTCCAACCTT